GGGGGGATGAGGAGCTGTTTCAGCATGCTCGCAAGAGGGTCATTGCCACCTACCAGGTGAGTCCTGCCGCCTGCCCGTTGTCTACCTGTGTGTAGGGGGCAGAGAGAGTCTGTTTCCCTAACAGAGCTTCCCGGGTCCTGGACAACGCCCCTTTCTGGGAAGGCCCTTCTTCAGGGAGAGCTAGTGTCTAGGAAAAACTACCGTACGTGATAGAGAAGCAAAACTCTGTTTATGCCAGGTAATTTTGGAATTGATCATTACTTAACATCTCTCCTCAGTAAGTTCTATGAAGAGCCTAGCACTTGATGCTGTTGTTTTAAAGGCTTTTTCTCCCATGATCAGCCTTTGCTGGTCTGCATGCCTACTGGAAAGCCTTCCCTGGACCCCTCTTCAGGGCCCAGTCCTACACACGTGTCTTTTTACCTCTTGATCCTCAGAATATTGCGATGTATGAGTGGCTTCCCAGCTTCCTGAAGCAAACTCCTCCAGAGTATCCAGGTGAGGGGGTGGGGAGGAGGGCTGAGAAGTTGTGAAGTGTCTTTTAGTACAGATTTAAAGCCTTAATGTGTCCGTTTCTTCTCTTACCTCAGGATACCATCCATTTCTGGACCCCAGCATCTCCCCAGAGTTTGTGGTGGCATCTGAGCAGTTCCTCTCCACCATGGTGCCCCCTGGGGTCTACATGAGGTAGGAGAGGAAGCTCATATATTTGTATCTCAGATCCATTATTGATAATCATCTGCCTTCAGGAGCCCTCGGGACAGGATTACATCAGTTCGATGTTTCTAGCAGCTAGTTTCTAGAGAAAATGGTGAAAATGGAGGGGAAAGATGGTCTGTTTTTAAATAGACGATTCATTGTGCATGGTGTTGGTTGTCTATAGTCCACGATCATGTGATTTGCTTATATGTGTTTGGTCAATGGCTTTTCAAGACAGGACTATGTAGCCCTGGCTGGCCTGGAACTTGTCAAGATCCTCCTGCCGTTTCCTCCCATGTAGCTTGATTACAGAAGTACACATATGACTGATCAAAAGAAAAACGTTTATGGTCTTTAAAATGTGTATATGTGTATGTAGCTGGGTGGCTCACAATTTTGTTTTGTTTCGGTTTTTTTTTGTTGTTGTTGTTGAAACAGGGTTTCTCAGTATAACCAGGTCTGACTGTCCTGGACTCCTTTTGTTGACCAGGCTACCCTTAAACTCACAGAGCTTCACCTGCCTCTGCCTCCAGAGTGCTGGGATGAAAGGCATGTGCCACTATGAAAGGCTGTGGTTCAGGTCTTTAATCTCAGCACTCAGGAGACAGAGGCAGGCAGATATCTGAGTTCAAGGCCAGGCTGGTCCATAGAGTGAGTTCTAGAACAGCCGGGGCTAAAGAAAACCCATCTCAAATGAAAAAATAAAAAATACTCCATAAAACCAAACAACAACAAACAAAAAAATCCAACCCATTAAACCAATAAAAAACAATGTGTGTGTGTGTGTGTGTGTGTGTGTAGTTGCTTACAGCAGCTCATGTCCTTAAAGTCATTTCACCTGCTTGGGAGGCTGATGTGAGAGAATTACCTTGAGCTTAGAAGGCCAGTGTAGGCAAAATGGAAAACGTCATCTTGAAAAAAAAAAAAAAAAAGGAGTACATGTTTAGAGTCTCTAATCCCAGCAGGCAAGAAACGGACGGAGTCAGGAGAACAGGAGTTCAAGGTTATTCTCTACTACACAGAGAATTCAAGGCCAGTCTGGGTTACTTAAGATCATCTCTCAAATAGAAATTACTCATACATATAAGTAAAATTATATAGATGGTATATACATAATAAAAGTGTGTGTAAGTGTGTAATCTATATAAGTAAGCTATTGTATGTCAGTCAACCTATTTATCTAGTCAACCTCAGATTTTAAGTATCTGAAAAAGTTTCTTCTGTACTGAAAATGTAGATGTTTTAAGGCCATTCTTCCTGAAATAATAAAATCTAGTAACTATTTAGATAGCATCTATGTTATATCGAGTATTAGAAGAGTATGGGTTGGGGAGATAGCTCAGTTGGTAAAGTACTTGCCACTCAAGCACAAGGACTTTAGTTCAAGGGTTCAATCTCTAACATCCTATAGGAAGACAGATGTGGTGGTTCAGGCTTGTAATTCCAGTGCTGAGATAGTAGAGGCAGGTAGATCCTTTGATCTGGCTGATTTGTCAGGCCAGCCTAACTGTTCCAGGTTCCAATGAAAGACTCTTAAAACAAACAAGCAAATAAATCAAGCTGGAGAACTTCCAAGGACTGACACCTCAGCATAACTTTTGGACTCCACATGTGCCTGCACCCATATCACGTGTGTGTGTGTGTGTGTGTGTGTGTGTGTGTGTGTGTGTGTGTGTGT